TAGTGGATACTCAGATGGCCACTAGAGGTGCTTCCTAGTCGAGACATGAATGCCGCCCTATGAAGTATCTGCGCACGTTTTATTGCTCCCTGCTCGCATCCTTCTATTTCGTCATTTTGACGAAATAGGGGGCACGGCATCAGGATGATCCCGGCGCTGTATCCGGGTAAGTAAAATCCCTTGCCTGTAGTAACCCTTTAATTTTATTATTTAATCATTTATATAGCAACTGCAAATTCCGTAGAGCTGTACAATGGGATAAACAACTCCTAGTTTACGGAATAAGAATATACCCGGTGAGTAAAAATGCTATCCCCCCAGATTTTTTGGGGTTCCTACGCCCATGGGCATATGGGGGAGGAGGGGCAGAGATAGCCTACTGATCAGTGAAGTGAGGTATATGGGGGGGGCAGAGATAGCCTAGAGATCAGTGAAGTGAGGCATATGGGGGAGGGCAGAGATAGCCTAGAGATCAAAAGTGGCTTGAGGCATAAGTGGGGGGGGCAGAGATAGCCTAGAGATCAGTGAAGTGAGGCATATGGGACACACACAGAGATAGCCTAGAGATCAGTGAAGTGAGGCATATGAGGGACACACAGAGATAGCCTAGCGATCAGTGAAGTGAGGCATATGGGGGACACACAGAGATAGCCTAGAGATCAGTGAAGTGAGGCATATGAGGGACACACAGAGATAGCCTAGAGATCAGTGAAGTGAGGCATATGAGGGACACACAGAGATAGCCTAGAGATCAGTGAAGTGAGGCATATGAGGGACACACAGAGATAGCCTAGAGATCAGTGAAGTGAGGCATATGGGGGGCAGAGAGTGCCTACAGATCAGGGAAGTGAGGCATATGGGGGGAAGAGAGAGCCTACAGATCAGGGAAGTGAGGTATGAAGAGGCAGAGAGAGCCTACAGATCATCGAAGTGAGGCATGGGGGGCAGAGATAGCCTACAGATCATCAAAGTGAGGCATGGGGGGACAGAGATAGCCTACAGATCATCAAAGTGAGGCATGGGGGGGAGACAGCCTATAGATCAGGTAAGTGAGGAATGGGGGGCAGGAGACAGCCTATAGATTAGGTAAGGGATGGGGGAGGTAAAGTAAGAGAAGGAGCAGAAAGGAGAAGAAAGGAGCAGAAAGGAGAAGGAATAGAAATGAGCAGAAAGGGGCAGCAAGGATCTGGAAGGGACAGCAAGGAGCACAACAGGTAAAGTAGGAGAAGGAGCACAAATGAACACAAATGAGCAGGAAGGGGCAGCAAGGATCAATAATGGTCTGCAAGGAGCACGAAGGGTCAACAAGGAGAAGGAAGGGTCTGCAAGGAGAAGGAAGGGTCAACAAGGAGCAGGAAGGGTCAACAAGGAGCAGGAAGGGTCAACAAGGAGCAGGAAGGGTCAACAAGGAGCTGGAAGGTAAAGCAGCACAAAGGTAAAGTAGAAGGAGCAGAAAGGGTCAGGAAGGAGCTGAAAATAGCAAGGAGCAGGAAGGGACAGAAGGAGCACAAAGGTGAAGTAGGCGAAGGAACAGAAATGAGCAGGAAGGGTCTGCAAGGAGAAGGAAGGGTCTGCAAAGAGCAGAAAGGGACAGAAAGAGCACAAAGGTAAAGGAGCAGAAAGAATCAGAAGGAGCACAGAGGTAGTAGGAGAAGGAGCAGAAAAGGGGAACAAGGAGCAGAAAGGGACAGCAAGGAGCACAACGGTAAAGTAGGAGAAGGAGCCGAAAGGGTCTGCAAGGAGCAGAAAGATCAGAGAGAGACAGGAGCAGAAGGGGGAGCACAATAAGCAGAAAGGTAAAGAAGCAGAAGGAGCCAAGGAGGAGAGAAGACAGTGTCAGAAGAAAAAGAAGACTGCGTCAAATGAAGGAGAAGAAAAGGAGACTGGAGCAGGAAGGACAAGTGAAGTGAACCCTCCACTTTATAAGGCTTTGGTACCTGGGCCTGGCAGGGAAACTTTGGACCTTCTCATCTCCCCAGGTAAAAAAAT